CTCCGGCGACGCTTCTTTTGTTTGTTTCTTTCGTGTCCTCTTTTCCCCTTTCTTTTGGGTGCTGACCTGTTGTGGTATTTGTAGCCTTCGCCTGCTGCGGCTCTCTCTCCCGTTGGTTTCCTCTCTGTTAGGCCCAGGATATTACTTCCTGTACCTTCGTTTTATACGTCAAGCAATGGTCTTGCGACTCATCGAGCGAGAGGTTGTTGTTGTTGTTGTTGTTGTTGTTTCTCACATTAGCTCTATAGTCCACAAAAAATGGGGAGCCCCGTGGTCTCAAAACCCGGCACATACAACGCCGCGGGGAAACAAAACAAAAATAGGGTACAAACCACTCGGAGGTGTGGGAGGGTGAATTGTGGTGTTATGGAGCTCCGCATCCTCGATACTCTCATTTGGGATTCGACAAGTAATTGTCAAGTTCCGAGAATTACGTATCTGCTTGTGAGAACCTCCAGGCTTGGCTAGTGTTATTGGATTTGAATGTGTAGGAAAGTAGTGCGGGCTAATAATGCCCGGAGGAAAGTGCGGGAGATGCAACTCCCCACGGAAGGATAAAACAGGGGACAGGATCTAGTAGCCCTGCTTGAGCAGCTGATGCTGGCCCCATCCTTGACAGTCTTGTACCTTCCTTTGGCAACAGCTACTGCTGTTCCACAGGAGTTAATAACAAGTGATTTGTATGATATGAAGCAGCTAACAGCAAGCTTCGCCTTCCGCCCGAAACACAAAGTTGTGACTGTTCGTGTTTGATAGAAACGCGATGGTTCTTGTCTGCGAAGCTTGTTTCATGACCGCCCAGAGGGCGTGAACGTTGTGGCAATGTCAGCCGACTATCGCCCGCGCCCATGAGAACATGTGTGCGACTTCATCAAATCCAATCCATCACATGGTCCATGCAGGCCCCGAGAAATTGAAAATGGTGAGGTCGCCGTACAAAACAAGATTGTTGGCGTGGGTGAAGCCATACGCAGGCCGCCATGATTGTGATGCTTTGTTCGAAGCACCTCACAGTTCTACTTTAGGTCGAACCCCATGAAACCAGGAGTATTACTTTTACGGCGGCCGAGAAGAAAGCTGCACTTGGTTGACAGGTGATGCCCAAGAGCGAAGAAACCGGGCATATTTTTTTAATGTAAATCCATGTATAGAGACAAGTCCCCCCGCCCCCGTGCCCACGCAGACAAAAGCGAACACCGGTAGGCAAGCTGTCAAACGTCATTGGAAGCCTACATGCATTTGTATCTCAGCTATAGCTGATGTGCAACACTGAAATCGCGTACCTTAGGGAGCGCAAGTTTTTTTTCTGTCCAGAAACCACAACTCAAGCCGCTCCCATGCCCACGAGAAAAAAAACAAAAACACCCTGAGGAATGCTCCTCGCGTTCACCATTTGATTTATTTCTTGCACCTCTTTGGACACAAGGATGTCCCAACAAGTTGTTGTTTTTTTCGGGACACCCCCCCTCCCCCCCCCCCCGGATACCGTGCCCACGCAAAAAAACACCCGTGGTAGGCAAGACGCGCCATTCAAGGAATTTCATCCTCTCCGTCACCAATTGAATTCTTTCTTTTCCCTGTTGGACTTCTGAGTTGCCGAGAACGCCGAGGCGTGCTTCGCCTTATCGCTGAAGCACTGATGACAAATTACAACGCCACCCAACTTCTCACACTGAGTGCACCGGCAGACAGTTTCAAGTTTCCTCCCCCGAGGCTTTGCCCTTCCGCTTAGGGTTGGTTGGGGTACGACCGACACACATTCTCGACATGCAACAGAAGCGTTGTGTTCCCCTCAGAGTGTGAAGGTTGCCACCCCCCGACTTAATCCTGAATGTCGCCACTGTAAGGGTGCTGTTACGCCCCCGACCCCCCCTTTCGGCGTTGCCAATGTTGCACGAAGACATGAGAAAGCAGCTAAGTTCCCTCATCCAAACTGATCTTGACTGCTTTTCTATAGTGGCCAAACGCTCGCCCTCCTCTCGCAGCCCCTTGAGAAGCAGCCCATCGGCAGTTTCTACGCCTTCGAACACCCCCCTTTCCTCCAATTGCTCGATCGCCTCCGTCACCCCACTCTGCTTGTGTCTCAACCACCAGCGAAACATCAACCACGCGTTCGTACAGGCCTGCATCAACTTCTGCTCAAACAGACGTCGCCAATAATCATTTTGGGCACGGTGTTTTATCTGGTACGCACCATTGTGCTGGTCCGAGATTTCTACTCCCCCCATGAACTTGTTGTAGTGAAATCTACACCAAGGCTGGAAGCCGTCGGCCTTCTTGGACTGTCCCGCCACGTGCTTGCTGTCGGTGTGGACGAATACAGTTCTGTGTCAGCATGATCGGGGTATGAACCTCAGCAGCGTCTAGACACGTACACACCCGTATCACCCACTCCTGGACACATGTCGTGCCAAGAATATCAGAACCATACACATGTCATAAACACCGCGCCCACCTGTACTCCTTCGGTAGAAAGTGCTTCGGGCTGAGGTGGATTGTGGACAAAAAATTGACGAGCTTGGAATCCTTCCACTGCACGAACACCAAGGGCCCGAACCTCGCGAACACCATCTCGCCCTTCTTCCTGACATACTGTCTCGTGGTAGACCAGTACTGGATGGCCTCTTTCGATCCGCGGTGTGTATCCCTTAGGGTTGCGACGGCAAAAATCCCGTGCCACAAGAGACACATGAAGAGGATGGGCGAGGTGAAACAATAGTCGCAGGCCATGTAGGTCCCTGACCTAAACAACTGCGCCCCAAGTGCCGGGCACGCACACACACAGGACAAAAATCACCATTCGGCATACTCGCCCCAAGGGATAATTTGCCCACATGCGAATCCTCGGATCTCCGGTGTAGCCGCCGTCCGTGTATCCCGTGAAACAGTACCCGCTCCAGCAACAAACCCCCCAAATGTTCACCCCTGGAAAAAATGTGGTAGGCATACGTCGGCCGGGGTGGTAGCGGGGGTGGTAAGCTAAGTCGACTGGTTCGAAAGCACCTAGTGTGCCACAAAAGTCAAGAGTCACACGCAACTTAGGAAAGTAGCATGCCATTTCATCACTAACACGGAATACAAACATTTCCTTCCATGGATGAATGGAAGACAACCACGGAAAAATTGATCGATTTGGGTGGGGGGGGGGGCTGTGGACGAGGCTCGGGCATGGCACAACGTGTCTCGGCCCTACACGGTACGCGCTGTTTGTACACAGTGCATGCTGCCCGTGAGCTACACTCACCATTCTTGATGGGCTTCTNGGGGGGGGGGGGGGGGGCTGTGGACGAGGCTCGGGCATGGCACAACGTGTCTCGGCCCTACACGGTACGCGCTGTTTGTACACAGTGCATGCTGCCCGTGAGCTACACTCACCATTCTTGATGGGCTTCTCCGGCATATGCCTCAGCATGAACTTTGCGGAACGGCTGACACACTTGACCATCTGCTCATCGAAGGAGATCCATCGACACACTAGAGCGGGTTCACTCCACGCCGAGTTCAACATGCACTCCACCTCACTACCAGTAGACAACGAGACGAAGGCGCGGCAGGAGTCGGGGAGCGACCATGGGTGTGACCGGGGTGGGGTGGGGGTGGGGGTAGGTGGCGTTGGTTCCTCCTGCATTCGACGTATGGAAACGGGGTGTTATACTATTTGTGCAGTCAATTACCCGGCTGGGGGAAAAACAGTTTTTTCATGGTAGCGAGTTCGACACCTACATGCTCTTGGTGTAATGTTTACTTGGAAGCGGCAATTAATATTTTGGGCCTGTCTACCATACGTTGTGTGGGTATTCGTGTGTGTGGGGGGGGTGTACTCATAGTCGTGCATGCCGTAGTCGTTAGACCATTGACCTCGCATCCCTACAAAGCCGGGACGGAGCACGCCGGGTTCTCACCGGACCAGGCTCTCACATCACCAAGCGCGAAGCGCCGTGAGATATTCGGCGAGTCGCATGAAGGGTGCGCTGCATCCTGCTAAGGGTTTTCGGCATCTTGTGCTTACTTCCTTGCGTACGGATGACAGCTGCGTATGACTTTATTTTCTTTCTCGTGCTTTTACTTCGAGAGACAGTTGTAAGCACCGTGTAACTGCCTCGAGGGTGCTTGGCCATTTCAACACAACGTGGTGCGATCATCCCCCTTGCGCGGAGTGAGGGTTCTCCACCCCGCACAACATGATCTACTCGACCACCATTATGGTTACCGCCAAAAAAAAAAACGGAGGTAAAAAAAAAAAACGGTAACCTGGTTGCCGAGTTCACGAAGTGAATTGGCTTGTTTTACAACGTCGTTGCCAAGCGACGAAAACCCAACCCCGATGGCAAACATCGGGGGGGGAGGGTTCTGAATATTTGAAAACATGTGCCCCTCTTTTCGACCGTTGTGTTTTTGTAGTTGGGGAGCGAATCCTAGCAGATTTCGACAAGTACTATCCGGCCACGGCCTCGCACTCAAAACCGGGCGCCAAAAACCTTATGGGCGCCAAATATCAGCTGTCATTGCATAGAGATATCTCCAATCTCTACGGACAAGCTAGCTTGACAATTCATACCGGATATGGTGTAGCGAATCCCAACCCTCCTCAACGGCCCCGTCCTGCAATCGTTTTGGAGCCGCCGAGCTTGCCATGTGAAAAAAATGGTCCTGCAGCTCAGGCAGCTGGACCTGTCCGGTGGCAAGGGTGATCCCGATGACACCTAGCATCATCTTCGTGGTGATTCCCCCCCCTCGGCCACACGGATTTACCTTTCTTCTCGTTCTTGTCGCGGTGACGCTGCTCCTGCCCCTTGGGGTTCTTTGTGCTCGTGCAGAACTTGAAGTACTCGTTTGTGTGTCGCGACGGTGGCCGTGGGTGGTGGGCGAGTGCGAATGGGTTATCAAGAATGTTCAGAAAGTGAATTGAGAGTGTCCCATGCGCCACGACCCAACCACCCATTACGGTTCAATCACGGCATGAACACGTGACGAACAGCCCCCCCCAAAAGCAACAAGTGCTACCCCTGTATGATCAGCGACCCAACAGGAACGAGCGCTTGCACTAACCTTCAGGACCAGGTGTGAGATCAACGCCGCCGGGAACATGATGCAGAAGAACGTGAACGCCAGCTCGTCTAGCCCATCCGCCGAGAACCTGCCCAACTTCTCGGGGTCAAACATCGGCAACGCATCCAATGTTGTCTTCGACGGTTTCAACTTCAAATCGTGTCCCTCTCCCGCTTTATTGCGGTGGCAATCGTAGTACCCGTGCCCGTCTCCTCGGTAGGAGCCTTCACCGTCAAAATCAAACCCATCACCCCCATATGAGCCCGCAGCACCGCCCCCCTCTACGTACGGTACGACTGCTGTCGTTATCTGCGGCACCCTCTGCCTCACCCCTATTCCGGACGGTGCTGCTCCTACTGCTGTCGCAGTCTCCACCGCCATCTCCACCACGGGCATCCTTATACCGCTGCATCGGCCGCCGTCGTATCCAGCCGTACGATCTGCATCTTGCATGCCGCGTGTTGTCCAGACGTGCTCGTCTGCGGTATCTAGCTCCTCCTCGCCCTTCTCGTCCTCACCACACCCCTCAGGAGCATCCTTGTGAACCTTCGACTTGGTCATGTTCTTTTTCTGTTGTGGACGATGGCATGGAAACGGCCGGTTAATGCAGGGAACAGGGGAGGGGAGGGGGTGGCTAAAGCGGTCAGGGGCCATTGTTGCCATCGCATCACGTGATAGAAAGATTGTGGACTGGCGTTTAGCTTACGATGGTAAGGGAGTGCAAGGACGAGGTGGACACACCACGAGGAAGATGGGCGCGGGGGGGCCGGGGGAGACGGAGAGACGGAGGAAGCATTTCGCACAACCACAGCAGCATCACACACGCTGCTAACAGCTACGAAACAAGATGATTTTCAGCAATACACGTTCGCAGAGTGGGAGAAGCAACAACAAGCATACACAAAGTGATGCACGATCAAAATCGAATCTCGTGCGAGGGACACAAAAAATAATACCCCCGACGCGCGGTGGTGTGCGTAGTTGATGTCAATATTTCGTGTACATCAAACTTTAGATATCGCCGAACGAAGTCGTACCTCGGTAGCTTTCGTGCTGCTGTAGTGGTCCCAAACGACAACACATACACACCGGAAAGCGGCGAGCGTTTACCGAAAAACAAACTCCTAGAAATATCAATGCACACATCCTTACCTTGCGGCCGTTTCGGAAGTCATGTGTGTGTTGCACCAACTCGAAGACGAACCTCAGGGCCGGCTTTCCCCAGCCCTCCGGTATCTTGTCCACCATAGCGTTGATCTGCTGAGGGCTTTTGATAGTCACGGACGGCTCGTCATAGTTTGCCAAGCCCCCCGGAAACTCGCCGTCGCTACCCCCGTCACTCATGTCCTCGTCCCCCTCAGGGTCCTGTACGTATTCCGTTTCGTTATCACCGCCGTTTTCACCCCTACCGCAAGTACGTTTTGGCCACCCTTCTTACTGTGCGTGCTACAGAGTATATCACAGGGAGATCTCGCCTCGGCCCCACAGCGCTGCCCTTGGCTTTTTTCGCTGGCGAATAAAGCATGGCAAGTCTCGCGGCGCTTAAATGCTTCTTTTTCGACGGATCTACGCGGCAGCACCTCCCTCTAGCGTCTCCGACTTCGCCGCATCCAAAGACAGCTTTTGCGCTTTGCTGCTGGCGAGCTTGGTTGGCGTTTCCGCCGGCGTCGGCGTCTCATTCGCCCCGGTCGTCGCCGACATACATGCTGCTGGCAGAAGGAAGTGTGGCGGGCTTGATCGCCGCTTTCCCCGGCGGCGTCTCCGGCTTTGATACGCCGGTGGGTGCGGTTGTGACTGACGGGGCACCTCCAGCAGAACGGGGAGATCGCACGCTACTGTTTGTTTCGGTTTCGTCATCATCATCAGTGTCGAGAGCAATGGGAGAGCCCCTGTGTTTCGTCGATCGCTTGTCCGATGTGGTTGCACACGGGCAATAATCGTCTGCAGCCTTCCTATGCCCAATACCAGACTCGCCGGAGGAACCCCGTGCGAGCATGTACGGCAATGCCCACGGCACGAGTTCTTGTGGGATCACGATAGCGCTGAAGTGGTTCAGCTTTGTTTCCGCCACGTTGCTGCTGCTCGGGTTGCGCACTGTAACCGCACCCTCAGCAAAACTATCTGCACCGTAGCCCCCGCAGTCATTGTACACCAGGTGCAGAAAATCCTTCCCGAAAAGATTGCCAACGAAACAGCCCGTGGTCTCACCTATTTCCACGATTCGAAGCCCATCTCCAGCTTTTGATTCCTAGACCACGATATTCCACTCCTTCACCTCAGCTACCAACGCCAGCTGACATACCGCCAATTAACCGTACCCCAGTTTTTTGTGGATGTCCTCTACCACCTCTCGCACAGTCATCATTGGTTTGCGTCTTGTAGCTCGACCGGATGAGGAGGTGCACTTTCGGTAGAAACCCTTGTCGAAGTTGAGACTGGACAATCTTAGCATTTCTTCCTCGGACACCGTGTTGACCAGTAACTGACCGTAGTCCTCAGAGAAAGCAACTGCTGGCATTTCATCCACCATTTCTTGGCGAGTCTCTCTTATCTCCTCTGGTGTTGCACCCCCGACGCTATCTCGCTCGGGGTGCAGCAGCCTGTAGATACTGTGAAGTGAGCAATTACCGTCACCTGCGGCCTCCAGCACCGTGCACTTCGCCGTGTCCTCCCCGGAGAGAACTGGGAGGTCACCGCTATAACGCTTCGAGGCTGCATGCAGAAGTTGTCGGCCTTTTGCGCATCGAGACTACGAGTGGCGAAGGGTGTGTGTGCTTGTGCTGTATTGCGCCGCGTGCGGTACGCGGCACAGCGATGAAAGTGGGATGCTCATGGCTGACCTCACAGTCTCGCATAGCACGAAATCGCGCCATGAACCTCATTGCCTAAAAAAATCGAGCAGAGGGATAGGCCATGACTTGGAATCGCTGGATTCAAAGTGTAAGAGGTCAAAATAGAAAAAATAAGAAACTATGTCCCCAAAACTCGATCCAGCCCTAAAGGGGTTAACCCGCTGCAGTACACCATTGGGGAACACAAGCACGCCATGACACCCGCCCCTGCCATCACACACTTCCGTGGAGACAGAGTACGTTTGACATCGACGAACATGTAAAAACAACGGCCTCTCCGTCTTTTCTGTGGGAAGGGGTACACGATGAACCCTGTGTGAATGTAGATTTTAACTTGGACCGCTGTTCATGAACCAGCAGAAGTGCACATGCGCTTACCGTATGCACGACGGAGCTTTGAGTTGTGCGGACAGCGTAGGTGGAGGATGCGAAAAAGATATAGATTCGCTCCTGTTCTTGAGATCGCGGCGGCAGTGATGTTAGAACAGCCGGGCACCTACCGTGCGAGGAAGAAAAATGAAATGCTGCCGAGAGGCCCATCTTGGGTTTAAAGACTGCACACGGCTCTCGGAATAGAAATGATCGGATAACGAGAAATACCCGGGGCAAAAATAGCAAGATTTCGGATACCTGGCCGATCTTGAGCGTATCCACCTACTTTCCTACGCTCACGGCAGTGACGCAGCACCTCCCAACAAGCCCAAATCACGCAGGTGTGTTGGTTTAAGATATGGTTAGGGCCACGGTCAGAGTATTTACGCGGGTGGCCTGCAGGAGACCGCATTCAGCCGTAAGCCGAATTGTGCGCAGCCTTCACGAAATCGGCAACATGCTCGAGAGGAGGCACACGGGTGATGCATGTCACCAGAAACGGGTACAAAAGTAACCACGGAAGGGTACTACGGTAACCAGAAACGGGTACTGCGCATAAATACGTAGTTCCCGTCGGATAAACCCGGTTATATCTGACCAACACCGGGTGCCCGGTAGGATTTTTTTTCTTGAAAAGGGAATGCTGTTCCCAGAAATGGTCAGTACTGTACCGGGTATACCCATGTTTGGTTAGTTAAGATACACCATTCCTTGGATGCACCCCCCCCGGTATATATATGTTGTATATGCATATGTGTGTGCTTCCCGACTCAGGTAATCTGCGACGCGGACTACATCGTCACTGCCGCCTGCTGCAACACCCCGGGAAGCACCAACGATCGGCAGGCATACAAGGAGGCCGAGTTCGACCAGCTTGTCGAGGGTCTTCCAGGCGACTATTATGTCGTGGGAGATGCGGCTTACGGGGCAACGGACAAGATGCGTGTACCGTACCCAGGATGCGACCTCGACCCAGACCAAGACGCCTTCAACTTCTTCCAGTCGCAAGAGCGCATATGCATCGAGCAGACGTTTGGAATCATGGTGAGTGTTGGCGTAGGTATTTCGTGGGCATATCACGGGATCATGAGCCTGTCCGCGAATGGTATGCACGATTGGCGACCGATTCAGCTGGGTCATATGATATTTTATTTTTAGCACGAGAACAAAGTTTGCAAAGTATATCGGGAGATTTCGCACAAACATTACTGTAAAGTAGAGAGGTGGCGGTGAAATCGCGGGATTACTTCATGCTTGAATGCCCCCCCACTCCCCGCCCTCCCCCTACATGTTGCAGATGAAGCAGTGGCCCATTTTGTAGAGCCCGCTGAAGGTGCCTCTGCGGAACACCGCGAGCGTTGTGAACGCTATCACTCGGCTTCACAACTACCTCCGAAGGTGTCGTTCTGAACCGTCACTTGCCACCGCTCGGTTCTTGAATGAGGAACAAACCATAAGGAGCAACCGCTGGGCAACACCATCGTCGAGACGGCCCCCGATGGCCTGTTCTCAGACTCGCGAGAACATCAGGGAGGACATTCGGAATATAACTCTCATGCGGCCGGCGGAGCACATGGCGCGCAACAGGCGATGGAGGACGGCCATCACTCGTCGTGGCACCGGCGAAGAGTAATAAACTAGGGCCGGGGGGGGGAGGTGTACTCATAGTCGTGCATGCCGCAGTCGTTTGACCATTGACCTCGCATCCCTACAAAGCCGGGACGGAGCACGCCGGGTTCTCACCGGACCAGGCTCTCACATCACCAAGCGCGAAGCGCCGTGAGATATTCGGCGAGTCGCATGAAGGGTGCGCTGCATCCTGCTAAGGGTGTTCGGCATCTTGTGCTTACTGCATTGCGTACGGATGACAGCTGCGTATGAATTAGTTTATTTTTTGGTGCTGCACTTCCAGAGACAGTTGTAAGCTTTGTCCAACTGCCTCGAGCGTGCTTGACCATTTTAACACGACGTGGTGCGATCATTCCCCTTGCGCGGAGGGAGGGTTCTCCACCTCGCACAACATGATCTACTCGA